TATATATATATATATATATATATATATATATATATATATATATATATACACAACATGTACAGATCATGGTGTGTTTGGTAATGAGCTTATGAAAGCTTTTAGCTTTTAGCTAAAACAAAAAACTTTAAATTCAAAAGCTATTTCAAATAGCGTTTAACAAAAAGATTTTTTTATAATTGGGCAAATTGACTTATTTACCTTTTTTTAAAATTAATTATGTGTTTTAGATATTTCATTTTATATAGTTTTATAGGTTTTAAAAGTTTTCATCTACTTTTGCCGAATACTCATATATAAATGAAAGTTACACCTTTCATCTTCTAGCCAGCTAGTTTTCTCGTACACGCCATTTAGCTTTTAATCAAAAACTCAATTTTAATAAAAAGTTTCGTTCAAGAGTACGAGCTTTTAAAATATATAATAATTACCAAAATATGGTATAAATTTTTTTCATGGATTTAGTTATTTCTGGAAAATAATAATTACTCTTTTAACTAAATTTACTACCATCATCACCATTCTTCACGTCCACCATTATCTACTTTTTTTCAGTAGTTAAAACGTTGGATTTGAATTTTGATCCACCATATTTACTCATGCCTCATTAATGTCCACCGTTGTCACCGATGGAATGCACACAAATTGACAACGTCAGTTGGAAAAAAGGTTAATACTGATTGGAGATTAATGATGCCATTGATATATAAGGATGAAGGGGGTTGGCCTGTGGTGGATGTGATGCCCATCGAGGTGTGTAGAGTGATTCTCCATGTTTGGAAGCTTGGAGCATGGGTTCTACTTCCATGGTGTAGGTGACGTGCCTTCTTCATCCCGGCTACATTGACATATTTTGATATAAAGTAACATAAAACATTGATAATTCAATTATGTTTTTTTTGATACATCATTGAAAACTCGATACATATCATTATAACTACAATCATAAAACAATTACTATACTTGAAAAGGCTAAATAAAAACTACATTAACAAAGCTTCTTGGCCCTCGATCAAATGTAGAAAAAATTGTCAAGACAAGATGCATAAATTACCAGAAGCAAAACATTGTAAAACAGACGAATGGATCGTGAAGTTGCAGTCTTCATCATTCCTACAACACCATATATATATATATATATATATATATATATATATATATATATATA